GATTTGATAAATGTTGAAAGCAAATCACCTTATTTATTAACCCATCGTCAATTACAGAACTGCTAATGCTCTTAAACAACTCAAATAATACTTCAACTTCACTAACATTGATTGCAGAAAAATAAAATCTCACGTATTCAGGTTTTGACTTAAAAAACCACAAGGAAAGCATTGAGATAGCATATCACAGCAACAACCTTAGATGACAATGAATGAGTGTTGACTCGAAAGCTAAGTGAAATAATTTTTATTGTCAAGTGTAAATAAAATATTTGTTCAGCATGTTGATATAAACCCCAAAGAGATTTTAAGGCATAATGAACTCATAACTTTACAAATTTCGATTAAATGCAACGAACAGGCAAGTCACCACTCATCATAAAAAAATACAATACAATACAAATGCTAAACTACAAAAAAGGATTGTGCAGTAATTCCTGTTTCCCTAAAAATCGATCATAACCCAAAAATACAGATCAATAAACCATATTTTCTTGTTCATTACGACTGATTGACGACGGTAGGACTGTATTTTCTTGGTAGAACAAAGCAGAGTAGAAATTAAGAAAAGCTAATAGAGAAGAAGAAACCAAACTTGGGAAAGAAAGAAAAATGTGGGGAAGAAAACGAAAACGATGACAGGTGAAAGGGACAAGGGAAAGGAAAGGAAAGGAAAATTACTGAAAAAGAATGACGCCGACAGGGGCGGAGCCAGGAAAATTATTTAGTGCGAGCACAGTTTAAAACTTTAGACGATCAAAATTTTATATTTTTGCTAGGCAACCTAGGCTTCTCCTAGTCATTGTATAAAACCTCTAGCTATAAGAATAGCCCATAAATAATACTTATTCATTAGTTAATCATTTTTCATAATAATAATCCCTCAAGCTTTTTTCATAACAAGCAATTCCAACAACAAAAATTCCTCAACCTCCGGCATAACTAGATTTACGAAGTCAAGGCAAAAATTTGACATGTACAGATTTTACATGATATATTTTAGCAAAACATAAACCTTAATTTCATACACAAACAACAGACCTATCGCTAATTTCTCATTCTTTTGAATTCGATTACGCACAGTACTAAACTAGAATTTTAAAACAAAGTATTTCAAAATTCAATTAATCACCATGTATAACAAAATCATAAATTATTCCCTAATGTAAATGACAAAAAAATAAAAAAAATAAATGCGAACTAGAAAACAAAAAACAAAGAGAGAGGAAGAGAGAGACGCTTACAACGACGACAGTGAAGAAATGTACTTACAAATTACAACTGGAACCAACTATCATGTAATTGTATAATGTCGTTAAAAAGCCTTTCTTTCTGAGAATCATCACAAAATAGCAATAATAAAAAAATTTCCCAGAAAATAACATAAGAGCTGAAAATTAAGTATAGGACGAATGGACAAAATAAATAAGAAAAAGGATAAGCAAAAAAATACCCAACAGCAATTCGGATAATTATTTTTATCTCACGAAGTGACTGCGTCTATACTAATGGGCAAGATCTTTTGTTTTAATCACAAAACTTAATTATGATTTATTACTCTAGCCATACAAAGGAGACAATTACATGAAGCAATTAAATGAAATCAAAGAGAAATTTATCAGCTCAGAATTAAAAAATAAAAATAAAAAAGTCTTTAACATCACAAGACAAACAAAAGTAGTAAACAGAAAGCTTAACATCACGATTAAATAAAGTAGCTTACTGGAAAAGTAATATTCTTCTAGTTTGCAGTTTTGATTTACAGGTCAGCACTAAGTCTCCTGATTTGATTTCTGGAAACTCTTGCTGCCGTCGTCCGTTTTATTCTTCTCTGCTTGTGAAAAATCTTTAAAAGTACATTATCGACTTGATCAAAATAACTGTCTCTCCATTTTTGGCAAAACACAAGTGGCAAGACAAAGATTCCTAAGCCCGTAGCAAATCCCAGTGCACCAAATATGTAATCCCAATCAATCTCAGTCTCTCCAACAAAATTCCCATTTTCAGATTGTAAGGATGGGACACAATCCTCCTTATTCGATTTGCAACTTAAGCTCAGTGGAAATCCGCATAGCTCTACATTTCCTTTATAGGAAGCTTCTAAAAATGTATTAAACTGATGGCCTGAAGGGATCGGGCCAGACAGATCATTAAAAGATAGGTTCAGAAACGAAAGGAATGTGAGATTTGCAAGCTCCTGTGGTATCTTCCCAGTTAGGAGATTCATTGATAGATCTAATGATCCAAGTTGTGCCAAGTTCCCAATGGATGCTGGGATGGTTTCCGTGAAGGCATTAGAAGATAAGTTGAGAAGATAAAGAGATTTTAGATCCCCTATTGAATCTGGTATCTTCCCACTCAACTTATTTCTCGAAAAATCAATTAGTATGAAGGCAATTAAAATTTTCTTGAGTTCCATCTCCAGTCCTTTGATGGTTACTTTTACCATGTCTTGATAGTAAAAGCCAGAGAGACTCAAGAAAGAAAAGCGAAGGTAATTGTATTCTGAGTTGAAATTTGTCATTTCTTTCCAATTCGAGAAGTATGATGGGGACAAAGCACCAGTGAAGTTGTTGACAGAAATATCCATGATTTGAAGCTTAGGCCACTCTTGAATAGTCCCAGGACATTGAAGTTCTCCATGGAACCTGTTGGATCGTAGAACCAGGACTCTCAGGTTGGTGTTCATCAACATGCAAGGAAATTTATCTTCAATCCGATTGTTTCCCATGTTCAAAACTTCCAAAAAAGAGCAATTAACCAGAGATCCCGGAAATTTCCCGGTCAACAAATTCTGACTGAGGTATAAACTTTTTAAACTGCAACCAACAGAAAATGTGTTGGGAATAATTCCACTAAGCTTGTTCATCTGCAGATTCAGAACCCCAAGATAACCGCCACTCACATTTGTTAGACAGGATGGTATACTTCCGTTCAATGCATTATTAGACAAATCGAGAACTAAAAGGGAAGAACACTTGCAGATGGATGTTGGAATTACTCCAGTCAAGCTATTACTGGAAAGAGAGAAAAATGAAGCATCGTAAAGATAATTGCCTATATCAGATCCATGATTTGAAGCTTAGGCCACTCTTGAATAGTCCCAGGACATTGAAGTTCTCCATGGAACCTGTTGGATCGTAGAACCAGGACTCTCAGGTTGGTGTTCATCAACATGCAAGGAAATTTATCTTCAATCCGATTGTTTCCCATGTTCAAAACTTCCAAAAAAGAGCAATTAACCAGAGATCCCGGAAATTTCCCGGTCAACAAATTCTGACTGAGGTATAAACTTTTTAAACTGCAACCAACAGAAAATGTGTTGGGAATAATTCCACTAAGCTTGTTCATCTGCAGATTCAGAACCCCAAGATAACCGCCACTCACATTTGTTAGACAGGATGGTATACTTCCGTTCAATGCATTATTAGACAAATCGAGAACTAAAAGGGAAGAACACTTGCAGATGGATGTTGGAATTACTCCAGTCAAGCTATTACTGGAAAGAGAGAAAAATGAAGCATCGTAAAGATAATTGCCTATATCAGATGGTATGGAGCTGTTGAATTTGTTGTTTGAATAGTCCAGATATATAAGGAAGGTGGGGGAGGGAATTGGTAACTCTCCGTGGAGCTGGTTGAAACTCAAGTCAAGTACAGTGAGACTAGGAATACTATAAGGCTTCTCAAAACTGGTGAGTTGATTGAAAGAAAGATTCAAATAAGTGAGTGACCGATTATTAATTTCCCAAATCCATGTAGGTATTTCCCCCTTGAGTTGATTGGCTGAAAGGTCCAAGATGCTCAAGTTTAAATGCTGCAGTGGCTCTGGCAACTCTTTCAACTTGCAAGAAGCTAATTTTAATCGTTTGATGTCAGGAAAGAAAAAAGAGTTCGAATTTTCGATGTTCAAATCAATTGCCAAATTGTTATGGGAAAGTTCAAGTGATGTTAGGTTATGGTTCCCTCTGATCATTTCTAGCTGGAAAGCGCCACTAAAGGAATTAAAAGAAAGTGAGAGAACATTCAGCTGCTCCCATTTGAAGAGAAACTTGGGAATCTGACCTTCTAGATTATTGGAACTCAAATCTAGCTCCGTCATTTGGGAGGCTTCAGGATTAGGAATCTCTTCAAGTTGGCCATCAAACTGATTGTTGGAAAGAAGAAGCTTCTGTAAAGACGGGAGCACAAATAGAGCAGACGGAATGTTCCCAGTGAGCAAATTATGCCTAAAATTAATATATTCAAGACTTGACAAGGCTTCAAAATGAGCAGATGAAAGTGAACCGGTTAATCGGTTATAAGAGAGGTTTATGTAGGTAAGTTTCTTAAACATATGTAACTGCAAGATCAAACCGGTGAAATTGTTCACTGATAAGTCCAAATAAATGAGTTCTGTAAGGCTGGTCGCTGTGGAGGGGATTTCTCCACCGAACTTGCAACTGAACAGTTCTATCCTGGATAACATGGCAAGGTTACTGATAGAATCAGATAATGAACCTGAAAAATTGGTGGAGCTAAGCACCATAGTCCTGAGAGCACTTGTCCGGGGAAATTGTGGAAGGGTTCCACTGAGTAAGCGATTATAAGATAAGTCCAGATTCTGTAAAGTGGGTACCTGGAAGATCTTGCGTGGAAATAATCCCTGAAGAGAACAGCTTCCTAGACTCAAAGTCGTCAATTTTGAGAAATTCGCAAAGAAGTCTGGAACCGTTGTGGACAGATTGTTGGAGTCAAGCCGGAGAATTGAAAGAGAACGGAGTTGCAAAAGGGACGAATCTATAGGACCTGAAAGATAACATCTGCGCAAGCTCAACTTTCTCAAATTGGGTAGAGATGAAGATAAAACCTGGCACCAACTCTTCTCCTGAGCTGAAATATCAACACTGTCTAGATAAAATTCTCTAAGCTCAGTAAGATTTTGAACTAGCCCTGTTAAATCTGGATTCTCAAGTTTCAGTTCCTGTTCCAAGAACATATTGGAGAGGTCAAGACTAACCAACCTCTTTGTTGGGCTGTGATGCCATTTGATCCAGTCCAACTGTTAGGCAATGATGAAAAGGCCCAAATTGGATTTATTACTTGGTCCATTAAATATATACCTAGAAGGCCCACTTAACCGAGCCCAATATCCAGCCCACACACCATTAGTCGCTCTTGGACCGTTGGATTGACCCACTGATCAACGGTTGATGATATTTACTATAAATATCCTCCTTACTCCCTGTTTGGCTCTTGGATCGTCACTTTCTGTTTTTCTCTTTCTCTCTGCAGTTTGAAACCTTCGAGTTCCTTTGTCTGTGTGACCCTTCCTTCTTCTCTTTGTGAGATTTCTGGTTGATTATCTTTGTGATAATCGTGTTCTTGTGTGATTCTCCTTTGTGTGAGTGATCGACCGAAGGTAGGCAGTTTGATTTCTTGAGTCCAGTGAAGTGACCTTGGTGTGTTGGGTTGTGAGGGTTCGTTTTTGAGTCCCGGTGCCTCTGTGATGGTAAATGGATGTGGTCTGAGCCTTCGAGTGAAAGATCTAAGCCTTGATGTTGTGATTTAGGGTTCATGGTGTAATCTGCGAATTTATGATTTCATCTATGTTTTCTTGGATTCAGTTTGTAATACTCTTCATTGTTGAAAGTTCGACCGGAACTTGTCCAGCAAAACATGCTTGTGATAGATTTGGGTGTGTCAATTTTTTTAGATTGGAAAGACTCCTTGGAATCTGAATATTGTTGAAACAGTTGAATGCCAGGTTCAGCTTCTCAAGATAGTGAAGACTAAAAAGACTAGTTGAGTTCTCCAAACCAGCAAAAATCGATTCATTATCCAGCTCCAAGCTTATCACATGACCTGCATCATCACATCCTACCCCTTCCCAACTGCAACAGTCCTCGTTCTCTTTCCACATGACCAACTTTCTTGAGGCCAATGGATCAAATATGAATTCGACCTTCAAATTGAGTAACAAAATTTTCTGATCCTCCAGACATTTGCTTTGGCTGCAGACTGGAGCAATATATGTTATTAAGAAAACTGAGGTTATGAAGACGAAGAAAAACTGCAGAGTGAGCATAATTTTCATCTTGAAACAGCAGTAAGGATGCAAAAATCCTGGTTTTGGATTGGAGCTTTTAAGCTGCCATTAGAAATACTCTCATAATTTAATATAATTGTGTCTCTATCATCTTGTATTCAACTTTGAACACATTATCTTGACCTCTTGGACAGAAATTTCGACGCGTTATTCCTTCTCACAAATATTGAGCTAGTTAAAAACATTGTTAGTCACATAACTTAAAGCAAAAATTCTTGTTAATCATTATGAACTTCATTTTGTTCTAAATTGACGTCTTAAGTCCTGGTTTTAATCATTATGAACTTCATTTTGTTCTAAGTCCTGGTTTTTTTAGTTAAACCATTCTGTCCAACTTCGAAAAATCCGACCTCCCTGGAAGGACTTTCTCCACATTTTCTCGACTTCCAAGGAAAAAATTTCAACATGTGTGCTGGGAAAAGCCATTAGTGCATGCATTAAGCCGTTGTTTGATTTTCATTATTTTTCTCTCTTTTTTTAACCGCACATTCTTCAATAAAATAAGATGACACGTAACTTCAAAATGTTTTCTTATTTCTTAACCATACATTCTCAATTAATTTATTATTCCAAAATGCTTTCTTAGCTAAAAATAGGGCTCAAATAGGCGCTAAATGTGATGCGTAATTAATGAGGTAATTGGCAAAATCCAACTATAAACAGAGGATGCACCTCGAAAAGATATGTAATAAAAGTATTTTGTCACTTTGTATCAGTTGCAGAATAATTTATGAAGCACTATTTGCTTCTTAAGTCTTTATCCATTTGTATTCTTATTGTACTCGAGTCATGTATACTTTTTTCAAGTTGTCTGTCCAATTGTAGAATTATTGTATTAGTCTGTATTATTGTACACGGAAGAGAGAAGAAAAAAGAAAGACGGAGGGAAAGAACCAGAAGAGAGAGAAAGGGAAAAAAATATGAAATAAACCTAACTATAAAAGGTTGGCGTTGATTTTACTGAACTAGTCAAAGAATGTTTTACTGTTCTGGTAGTGTGACGAATGAAATAATTTTTATATTCTCTTTGTTATTAGTCCCTTGGTGGTGTGAGCTGAGAAAAGAAAATCCCTTGCCCCTTGTGATTGTTTAGCAGAGAGATATGGCAATGTTTATATTTTTGTAATTCGTGTTTAACTTATTCGTTATTAAGTTTATAATACAGTAGAAATATACGTTAATAATAGTATGAGCTATACTTTTTAGTACAGGTAATTCAAGAGAAATAAATAGTAAAAGTATCTCAGTTTTCTCTCATAAGCTGATGGCGATATATTTGACTCATGTTTATAAAAGGTTCAAAAAAATTCACGCATTTTGAAGAATACACAGGTAGTAAATTAATTTATAATTTGAAACGTCTATGCAACTTTTCAAATTACTCTACATGAAAAAGTGTCTATTGTCGCTCAGCGTGATAGTATGGATGAAGAAAAAAGATTATTGGAGATTATAAATGTAAATCAAGTTGTTGACGTGACATTGAGGTCCTTAGGTATGCTATTGTGTGAAGTTGTTCCTTGAGGCCACTCTACCTTGAGGTCGAGCTGTCTTTGGATTGAAGGGCTGTTTCACTTTGGTCATTCACCATTTTGTTCGTAATTAATCTACCAAATGATGTTGCCCCCAGGGCATATCTTCCAATGACAAAGGGGAAGGCAGATAGGGCTCAGCGCGACAGTGTGCAGAGTTCGATTCCCCGCAAGGTGGAATTGACTTTGTTGCAAGCGGGAGTTACCATATGGGCTAACAGCCTTGGTCTATCCATGTGCTCTCCACCCTGGCTTCTGAGAGGCACATCTTGCGATTTACCTCCTCCACGATGGCCCAGGACAGGGTCGATGGGGATCATTAAGGTTGGGGTTCAACCTTTTTAATCTACCAAATGATGTTTTTGTGTTAAAAATAATAATAATTGAAACAAAAGTTGACATTATCAAGAAATGGCCCGTTGTTGACGCTTGTCTGTAAGTGTAAAAGCAAGTGGGCCCCAAATATATGTAGTGTGAACATTACATTTTTCCACCACGTGATTTTGAATGAACATGCCCCCTCCCCCCCCACCCCACCCAATTCAATGCGTTCACATTCTACTTAAATTTCCTAGAATATTCAACAATTAACCTAAGTCCCTGTCTTGTTTTGTTGAAAATCAATGTTTTAGTAAATTTTAATAAATATTGTGAATACAAAAAATGTTGAAAGATTAATTTCTTGAAGAAAGTGTTATAACCATGTCAAATTATTAGTAGTATAAGTCATCGTCCTATATTCTACTGCTGCATTTGACATTGCTATTACAATTTGTTTCTTACTTATCAGATTAGTTGTTAATTTTGACTTGAATTTTATTACAGTTTTAATTAAATCAAATTGGGACTAAAGAAAAAAGTTAAAAATTTTATATTTAAATTGTGAGTTCGGTCTATCATTACATACGAGACAAAAATGCAAGCAAACTGGCTTCATCGCAGATAACTAGTTTACTTGTTAATAGGTCGACCTGATCTGAATATTAAAACTAAGCTTCATGTATTGTCACGCAACTTTTCTCTCATACTAAGTAACTATAATTATTAAACCTAGCCACATGTGACTCTGAACATTGACATTATGTTATCATTGAGATCGAAAAATTGTCAAAACTCAAAACTAAGGATCTTACAAGCTTGAAAATCTAAATTCTCTAATGACAAATCTGTTATGAAAAACTACATAATTGGGATAAAAGCTAATCGTAAAAAGTATAATCGGTTCCCATCATTTCTATCCAAAGAAGTCATCGTAGAATGTCGACTTATCTAGTTTGCTTCTTATGGTCTACAAAAAATCCTCATCAATCTCTTTCAAAGTAAGTTAATTATTGCTTGCTAATTCCATCTTCTAAACTTTGAAACTCACTGTTGACCACCGATATTGAATCTCACTTAAAATATTTAGAGCCTATCTTGGCTACACGCAAGGTCGGGTTTGTGAGCTAAGCTCAGCTCAGCTCATGGCCACCGTAATTTCAAATAGACATAATGATTGCAGATTCCTTATACCTTGTCAAATCACCCAATTAGTCAGACACACTTGGAAGGAATGACGTCAACACCGTCCAAATCCACCAATTAGCTATTGTAATTGCCCATCCTGAAGAATGCTACAGTTCTGATAAAAGGGGATAATTACGATTTTATAGGAACCAGCCTCGGTAGCCAATCAAATAAGAGATGGGCGGCACATGAATCAAGCTCGGCATTATGAATGATCCGATTGACTGGACATAATTAGACTCAATTTACTCTATAAACAGAAAAGGAAGGTCCCCTCTGAGGGACCATAGAAGAAAAAATGAAAACAATGAAGGAAAAGAGGCAACCCGTCCCCACAAAAACCTACTTGTAACCCCCATTACCCAAAAAGGGTGCTCTTCTCCTTAAAGGTTGGCTTAAAATCATGCTTGGTAATTTTTGACATCAACACTCATTTTTATAAAATTCATTTTCACTCAAACATTTTATTGGACTTACAATTTTTATTAATTTTCAATCACATATTTTATCAAATTTGATTAAAATTTACATCAATATATGCCCCGCTTTGTAAGAATTACAATTAGATTTTCAGTAAATTTTAATAGAATTTTTAGTATTTGACTTTGCCTAGAATAGGCTAATGTAGTAATGTCTTTGCAGACAAATTTTGAGGAGTGAAAAAAGAATTGATAATTTTTTTTTTATGTCGAGAAAATTAAAACTAATTTGACACAAAGTTAAAAAACAAAAGAATTGATTCTCTCTCTTTTTCTTTTTCTTTTTTTTCATTTTTTTTTTTTTGTATGTCCAAAAATTTTAAACCTTATTTGAAACCGATAAAAAACAAAAATAAAATAACAAAAAGGCCAAAACATGTAATTTAATATACTCAATTGTTTATTTTAAATGCATTGAAGTGTTATTTATTGTTGATATCTCTATTCAACGTAGGATCATACCCTTAACAGGCAAGATGGTAGGTTAACTAAGTTTTAGTAGGAATAAATTGCTGGTTTGAACTTTAGGAATTTTCATACCATATTAAAATTTGTGATTTGAATTAAAAGTGTTGACTTCGAAAATTGGACGTTCCACGTAGCCAACCGAGAGCTACTCCACGTATTCCTCTCTACGTACAATCAACGCAGGGTCAGACGCACACGGTCGGGACCAACGGGAGTGGCGGCAGCCGTATACACTCCAATGGTCAGGTCAGATTCAGGTGGTCGGAACAGTATCCAGGGGGTTGTGCAAAATAATAAAGGGGATGAGAAAATATATATATATACTTGTTATGGAGTGCTATCTAGTGAGAGTTTCATTACCTTTGCCTCTTGTCAAGCCTTGGGTATTTATAGGTGGGATGAACCGTTGGATATGGGGTATATGTATACATCTGACGGTATGAGGTGTCTGCTCATATGCGTCAATCAGCCGCGTCTGTAGAGTGGGCGAGTAATTGCTTCTCCCGAGTTGAGTTGATATAAAGTTGATAAATCACATCAACTAGTCTCATGGAGACGTCAAATCAATTTAAACCTTAGGAGCAGAAATGATCTTGACAAAGATCTCCTTCTGAAATTGGTGGCGTATCTTTTGACCGAGGTCCCCAGAGTGTACTTCGCCTCGACATCACGGGCGAGGGCGCTTCAGTCGGTTCGGCAGAATTGTCTGTGGCTCGCAGTGTGATAGCAGGTTGTTGACATTGAAGAGATCATTTCGGAACCACTTCTGGTGGGTGTATATCAGGTCGGAGTGCCTTGTGGTGGATATTCGAGGTGGTTCAGATGGGGACGTAACAGTGGTCCCCTAAGTCTAGGTATGAATATTTATATCATGGGTAGGCTTGCTTTTCTGACCGGATGTGCATGCCTTAGTACGTGGAATGCGACTTGTGGGAGATTGTGGGTCGATTTAGGCAGATGCTGTAGAGCTTCGCTACTACGTAAGGAAAAAACTTACTTATGTGGAACCGAAGTGCTGCAAGACTGGATGATGAGTAGGAAGAAAATCAACGTAGCGACCGAGACGATGACCCACAGGGGCTTCGCGTCAGGTGCGTCTAAGCTTTGTAAAGTTGAGTGAGGAGCTCATCTGCCACCGATGCGCTGACCCATAGGGAACGACGCGTTAGGAGATGGCTAAAACTTTGTAAAGCTTAGGAGGAAACGCAGCGACCGAGGCGATGACCCACAGGGGCTCCGGGTCAGGTGCGTCTAAGTTTTGTAAAGTTGAGTGAAGAGCTCATCTGCCACCGATGCGCTGACCTACAGGGGACGACACGTTGGGAGATGGCTAAAACTTTGTAAAGTTTAGGAGGAAACGCAGCGACCGAATCGATGACCCACAGGGGCTCCGCGTCAGGTGCTTCTAAACTTTGTAAAGTTGAGTGAGGAGATTGACCCGAGGCGGGCATCTGACGTTAAATGATTTGACAGCTGTTGCGTATTTCCAAAGGT